GTGTATTTCCTTATTTGCAAAGCTATGCGAAAGCACGTACGTATCACACAGTATCCCTGTATTTTTGTCATAGACATTGGGGAAAGCCGACAACTATTGGACTGCATGGACAGCTTTAACTGTGCCTTACATTAGGCTTTCGGTTTGTCATTACACCAGAACCGCGGATCCGATAAGATTCGCGATTGCTGTGACGATGAAATGCTTGAGTTAAGGAGTGGGTTTTGGCCCCGGTAGATTAGCCGCATTCTCCGTGAGGACATTTCGATAAAATAACTTATATCTTCCTCACATTCAAGAAATTCAATCGCTCCGTAAACATTGAGCACCACAAAGTACATACGCTTTTTTCCAGGAGATGCTTACTCAAAACGCCTAATAAAAACAAAGTCTCAGCCCGTCCAATTTGAATCGTTGACTTCTCCTGGTTGAAGTCGGTATAAGCGTGTTTGCCATTTAATTTTCCAGTTGACTGACGTAGGTTAAATCTAGCTAGTTGATTATGCATTGTGGACTCATCCGCATTTTGGGTGTCCGGCAAATTCTCTATATTGTTGAAGCATAAACATCTTCCTTTACCTAGTTTGTGAATCGATTGTGGACGTTGAAATAAGCAGGTCGCCTTGTACATCTCTGACTGCAAACTATCTGGCACTCTCCGGAGCTGGCTAGAGAATTCTCAAATGTTTCGTCATTCGCAATAGAGAACTCCCCAGTCAGTAGATTGGAACTGAATCCTGTCATGGCGGCCGTCAAGTTAAGCATAATATAGAGGACAAAATTTAGCTGAAGGGTTATTAGTCTACCTCATTGTGTATCCACGAGTTCAACGCAGGCTCTAGCAAGTTTCACAGACTATTATAAATGCAGAATCACCTGCAACGTCCATCCCTTCTAAGCGCATAACGTTTTGCCGCAAGTCACGATTTCTTATTTCATTGGGCACAATAAGGTCAGGGCCTTGGACACCTGTGAAGTATAAAGCTAAGCATAAGTTCAGGGTGGTTGTTGGGAAGACTGGATGCATTTCAAAAGAGAGCTTTCAACCGGGCAGTCCTGGGGATCCTCGAGGCTAGGGATTGCTGAAATGGTGGACATGATATAGCAAGACATGGTGAGTGTTTTGGGGTGGCTAGCAGACAAAAATATTAACCGATCGAAACAAATATGGACAAAAGCTTAAGGCACATTTGGTCAATGAGTGCTGGGAAGTAAGAGTCGATAGACAGTTTAGAGAACGGAGACGGGAATGATGGCACTGTGACGTGAATGATTGGATACGGGTCAAGGAATATTTGTTCCTAGGGCAAAGACGGCGTAAATCTTGCGGTCTCCAGTTAGGTCACCATCGTCATCAACAGGGACAATTAGGTGAAATCATGATTGGCTATCTCAGTCATTTGTGCGGTGGGATAGTATAAACAAGATCTTGGAAGTCAAAATGGGTGGTAATTCGTTAGCACGAATGATGAGTGATGGTCCAAAACCCATATGCTAATAGTGAAAGTATTTTGATGTAGCCCGAAAGAGCGAATGGGTTCCAGCACGTTTGGTATATGATGTGGGCGAATTTGTTTGGTTGAAACTGGATACTGAAACACAAAATAGTCGGTTTACACACGCAAGCGCCGTAGTCGATAAGCAGCGTCGAAAAACGGCGCCCCGATTGGGTGAGTATGCTCCTGTGGTTGAGTATGGGATGTTTTCAAACTGTCTTTAAGACGCAAGAGCTGATGTTTTCGTTAAACTGCAGAGTATTGGCATCGGAAGGAAGAAAGTTTAAATCTAGTGCTCTAAAGAAGCAAATTTTGCACCAAATAATCGCCCGCTTATTATATCCCCGCTATGGCTACATTCATTGGCAAACGTCTGAATTTTGGGGTTCAGGTCTAAACCACCTAATTTTACGACTGCCCTGGTGACACTCCCCTTAGGCTTTAAATCCGCTGCTTCCGATAATGCGTATGGTCGCTGAATCTGAGCTCGATACGTCGGTCTATAAAAGGCTCCCTCATCATCGATACTGAGACCAAGTGAGCAGTAGGAAGTTTTGCCTTTTATGACGGCGAGTCGTCGAAACATTTTTTCAAAGCTGAAAACGTGATCAGATGAATACGCATTTTTTCCATGTTCATCGTCCTGTTGAAGCGGTAGACGGGAAAAGAAACGGAGTGGCCACCCTTTACGGTTGCACCGGTGCTTAAAATGAATGAATGGATACTTTTCAGATGGAAGTTATACATTTTCCATGCGGGTCTCATGGAGCGAAAAAGGACGTGACCATAACGCTGAAGATTCACGTTGGTCGATGGATAATTGGCTAATGTGAGCGATAAAGTTAGCAGTTGTGAGCAACGGGGAACATTTTCAGCCGTTGGATAAGGCTATCATGCACACTTGAACCCTCAACAGCGTCGCGCATCGGTATGACCTTGGCAGTTACGATGAGTAGCCAACGTAAACGCGCGCTGTTATCATGACAAAGGGCAACGACTGGCTTCATTTCCGACAACGTTATTACGCAGTTCAGCTAAAGAGTACCATTAATTCTGAATTAAAATTTGTAGTGGTTTTGGTAATTTACGCGTAGATATCTGAAGAATTTGCATTATCTACTGAATAGTTCTTCATGTCTGAGAGCAGGGATCATCCACAGAGGTGTATGCTTGCATCAGTACTGCGCAGAGTAACCACCTGTCCTCCATTATTACATTGATCGCAAAGAGAGCTTCTAGGAAGGATGCCATTTCGGAGTTTGCCGAACAAACTCATTTGATGTGTCTGACGAGGATAACGCGCGCAATCGTAACCCAAACATCTGTCTGAGTGGAATCGCATTGCATATTCAGTAGATGATATCTTTCATTTAAAGAGCATCACGGAACGCTAGAATATGCTAACAGTCGACTTCGTACAACATTTTCTAAACTGTTAGTCGCACGCGGATGGATATTGTTCGATGACCTTGAAAGTCGGCTCATATAAAATGCTATGAGAATTGCTACGGCATTGGACCATGCAGTCGGATTGGACCAACTCTGAAACTTCGACAACGCCACAGTTTAGGAGAAATCGGTTCTGTTTTACTTCTAGGTTGTGATTATGCTGGCGACTTGCACCCATATTTCGGCTCAGTTTGGGCCAGCTCAGTATTTGCACAATGAAATTGAATCACCAAAAGCCACGGCGTTTGCAAGGTTACCATTTTAAAACGAGGATATCTATGTTTAACGAAGTGTTTTGAAAATTATATGCATAGGCGATTGGTTTACGTGAGCAAAACTCAGAATGCATCAACCACCAGCGACTGTGGAAACGCTTCCTGATGTAATACGATGTCGCGAATGCGACGAAACGTGAACTGCTTACAGTGGACTAAATTCGCAGAGTTCCGCAGTTGAAGTATTTCATTGAGCTTTCTAACAACTGCATAGTCCTTGTAGATGCAAAACAGGTGGGGGCATCACTTCTGTAAACAGTTTTTGCTACTCATATCTGCTTGACTGCTCGAATACCGGGCACTGTGTTCAGTCGCCTCAATAGTTGCTATTCGAAGCAGTCATCGCGGAAGACGCATTTAATATTGTCCAATAAATCGAGCGAGGTTAGAAAAACGTAAGGTTTGCATATGTTGATGAACTATTCTAGGTTGTTGGTAAACAGCAGAGTTCCACATCGTAACTAGTAAAATATGATAAAACGACCACAACGTCAATGATAGCATGCATCCGAATGTACCTTGTTTCCGTTGGTCCCAGCGATGTGCCTCAAGCATCTCATCTCGCATGGGCCACTCGACGTGCAGTGACACTTTCTATATGACGCACTCGAGTCTTTCTTATTAGTGCACTCGATTTTTAACTTGGTCACTCGCATTCTCCAGACGGTTGTTCGTCAAATTAACAAAACGGACAATCCGTGATCGTGCGTGCGCAGCCCATTTGCGGGTGGTGCATAACTAGTGGGCTGTAAGGTAATAGACAAATCGTGGGTCCGTGGGGTGCAGTGGCTGCGGAGCTCACCACAGTCGGTGTCCTTGTAACACTGTAAGCAATAAAACCTACTGCACGTTATTGTCCAGGTGATCCATACAATGAAATATGTGCGGGCTACTTGCAGTGTCTGTGACAAAATACATGGATGTCATATGATACACGTATGCTCCCTGACAGTTTTTTTCAAAATGGATGTAGTACAGCTTGATGTCGCAGCCGAACACTGCTCTTGTTGCCCAGATTTGTGCTGCTAACTTGTGCATAAGAAAAGTGATCACTCGTAAATGCTCATCATTGAACATGCCAACTAGCTTGCGCGTGGGAGCAAGCTGTTAGCTCTCCACAAAGATATACATAGCCGGAACTCGGACAACCATGCCACTCATGACCAGGAAAGATTACAGCGTGTATCTATGGGCTAGATGTGTTGTATTAAAAAGACATACCCAAAATGGTTTATCGCGTCTGTCTCAGCGACATTTACTCCTTCCGGAAAACGTCCCAACGGCGCCGTCTGCTGTCATCTGATGAGGCACATATCACTATAGTGACCTTTTGCCGACTGCGTCACAAGCACGCGTCTAGTCTTACGAAGTTTTGCTAGGACCAAGATCATGCCATTTGCCACGGTAGAACCCATCTACGCATCACTTATTCAATGGTGCTGGCCAACAATTCCGTGGGATTTGTGTATGTCCAGAGTGGTATGTACCCCACCAAATTCACCGATTACAAACTTCCGCACCCCAAACAACGCCTTCAGCAGAACCCTGAAGGTGCACAAATCCCCTTCGTTAAGCCGTTGACTTACCGGAAGCAGATCGTACAAAATCTTCGAAACCTTATGGTTGTATTCAAGATAACGGTAGGTGACCGATAGTTGTTGCCCTTCCTTCGTAGACTAAAATCAATTGTCAGCCGGTGCTTCGCATACTGTTTGTTATTGAAGAACATGATTAGCTCACTAGCTTCTGTGGATTCGTCTTCTTTCCGTTTATCTTACAGGCTGTTTCCTGTATTGGTGACACACCCTTCCGTAACGCAAAACAGTGCTGGTTCTTCGGTCGCTGGATAAACGCACAATACCACGTAATTTTCCTTCATGTAATCACTCAATCAACGCCGTCTTAAACTTTGTGAGAGTTGAAAAGGATACAAAATCCCAATTTCTCGGCAAACATAAGGACAATAATAATGTTTATTCCCAACTTGTGGGTGACGCTGTCAGGCAGGATCATATGTTCACAGTCAGAATAAAGCATGATTGGTGGGAATTTGCGAGTACTGAAGAGTCCACGAAAAAGAGGACGATGTCATAAACATTGAGCAATATCCGATGAAATAATAATAGTTTCATTTCCCACCTTGTAGGGAGCATGCTGATGGAGGCATGATCGGGTCGGTACAACTTGAAGGTGGCAGACAACAACACAACGGGGAGGAAGGTATAACCAAGAGGCATGCTTGTTACATGAAAATCATCACAACTGCGGGAACCGAGAAAAAACTTGGACAATTGGTATGAGATCCGACAAGTTCAAAGATGAAGCCGGCTGACACGAATTAAAACTGAAAACGATTGCTGGCCATGAGTGACCTTAAGCAATTGGATAGATAGCCAGAGTCGCAACAAGCAAAAATGGAGATGAAGATCGAGATGGAATAATTCGAGGTAGAAGTAGTTGGCAAGTTTTGTCCCGGAAATATGGTTTTACCTGAAACTAAGTAGACTCATTGGTGTCAATGTTTTTTGGAAGTCAGCACAAGGGATAGGTTCGATGGGCAAATAGTGCTAATGCGTGGGGTCAAACGAACGGAATGGAGCTTTTGGAATGGGTTAATCGAACTTGCAGCAGAAGACGAGGTGGGTCAAATCGATCGAAATTTCCAACGGGTCAGAATGAACTCGTCTCAGAAGCGGTTAGGGCAATGTTAAAAATTTGCCCGTAGTTGCAATTACAGACTGGATTGGGTGAGGGGTTGCGGTCGAGATCCTGAAGAAAATAGTTGCGGGAGTAACACCACACATGGTGCCATTATTGCACTGACAAACTTCGGTTTATGGAGAGCCCCGTAAGGTCGTCAGGGATGCCGCAATCAGCGAGGGGATACGCATTTCCGCGTCAGCTGGATCTGGGCTAGGCGAGGAGATTGATCAAAATCAGCCAGGCCGACGCAGGGCCACGGATAATTTCCATCCTGTTGGAGGACCATGTGACCATGCCGCACATTTCCTCAGCATAATAACTCACAGGATAAGAATGAGTGTTGTCAAGCCCAAATATTCTCATGAATGAAGTACAGAAAATTTTGAAGATTCATTTTGTTTTTCATTCTCGGTGGCCCTCTGCAGGCATTTCTAGCCAGCGAGGAACACTTCTCCCGATTTGTTATAAATTTAGTCAGGAATAGCTCGATTGACGCGTCTGTAATAAAAAATAGTTGTAAATTTTCATACAGCCAATTTTTCAAATTGACCGAGTATAAAATAACCGTTAGATACTTACAAATATTTTTGGCTAGTCTTATTGACCCTAAGGCTATTCCTTGCAAATTAAGAAGCATGGTTAATCCTGGTGCTAACGTGTATGTGAGTATGTTCGCTAATCACTGCTGCGTATTCATGGACTCTTGCAGGAGCGACCTCTCCACTTTGCAAAGTCATTCACCGTGGCTACTACAAATGCTTGCCAGCTGTGCACACCGCGGAACATCTCTGAGGTTTTATTCGTACCTGCAAAGCTCATCTATGGATGACTAGGGAGGAAGAGTTTCATCGCTTGCTCAAAAACTGCTGTTAGGTACTAAAGCTTCCAGTTCATATGCGGTCTTTGGAGCAATGAGCAAATTAGCTTAAAATCCTCTATAACATGGTTAAGACATGGTAATTTAGTCACCGAGATTGAGGTTGACCAGTTCGTGAGAAACCATCTGGGCCTTGGTTTTGGAAAGCTTTTCTAGAAGGCAAGTTGCGGCGCCGAGCTACGTGTTTCCGTATCACCCATGGCCTTTAGTATTACATATGTGGAGCTGCAGATGGAATTTAAATGATTGCGAGGAAATAAAACGTACGTTCAACATTTAATCAAGGCATCACCCGGAACTGCCGGCCGGTCCACAACCGCTACCATGGCAGTGTCGGAGACCATAAGAGTGGTACATTTACAGACAATGAATTGACAAACTGAAAAAACTAGTGGGTGCGGGAGGTACGTCTTTTTTTATTGTTGGGCTTATGACTACGTTTGCAAATAAAATGGTATCACCACCGGACCCGTGCTCCGGTTCGCCTGTAAATTCATACGGCAGCCGATTTCTACCGCAACCATTGATAAACCTACTGTTTACGCTTAGAGGCTCATACAACTCATTCGTCGGAGAAAATATGCCCCGAGTCGGGGGCTATTTGTGGGGTGCATCAGCAAACATGTCCAAAAATTTTCAACTAAGCATGAACTTAGTGCAACGCCGGAAAACATCTTATGTACATTACTTCGGAGAGCACTTTGGTAGAGTTCACACCAGAAAGTTGGCATATAAAATATATTAGTCATGCGTGAGAGCTAAAGGACCGGGTCAGGTGGTACTGACCACGATTCATGGGCTGTTCAGGTGAGGTTGCCCTTTAGAACCGACGCAGCGTACCTGGATGAAAAAACATGATCCAAGCACGAAATTCCGGGGGAGAATGTCTACGAACGCAAGGAAGCTTGAAGGAATAACGCAATATTAATATGAGTATATGTATTCATTTGATTCACGGATTCACGGATCGATACACGGGATCGAGGCTTTTGCCCAAGTTTCCCGGGTCGGTTTTGTTCTTGTCGGTCGGTGGCTGTCGTTCACCTGAAAGGCACAAGTAAAAAAAGGTGCAGTACTGCTCTTTATGTTCTCAGCGCGGGGCGGTAAGCTTTCCAGCGCGAGGATTCGC